GCACAGGTGCTGTGAACAAAGATGCCGACGGCCTCTATGCTTAGCCGGGGATTAGGTCGGTGATTAAAAGGAAAGAAAGGGATTCTTTCCAGGTAGCCTTAATAAAGGCAGGTAGATTTTGCTCGTTGCAATCACTTCACCTCACAAACAAACACGTCCGCTCAGCTCGGCTGTTCGCACTGAACTGATTTTAAGCGACGAATACGTGTTGTAAAGTCAGCGTTGCTCATAGAGGGCGCCACTTACGACCAATTTTACCGAAAATTTAGTTAATAACTTTTTACCCTGTATGTCTAACATGAAACTTGGTTCAAAACCTAAATGAGCAAAAAATTTTCCATTAATTATGTACTCTTGTTTCATTTCGGTATCTCGATGCGTTTTCGAGAAAAGATCTTCGTTAGCGTCCTAGAAACTTGAACTAACATCTTCGAGTCCAAGATGAATTTCCCTCCCATCATCTTTACATCCTTAACAGCACGACGAAGCGTCTATTCGATGGCCTCGGCATATCGTTATTCAAAGCCTGTGGACTCTGACCTCTGCTAATTGAGATTTAGGATCCAATAAACTATGTCAATATTAATAATGTTGTCAATAAATGGTGGCAAGCCAAGAATGTGAATATTTGCGCAAGGTCTATTAGATACTAGATTATTAATAATAATCGTTAATATACTGTTAGCGATTTTAGAAAGGTAAAAATATCAGGACATCTATTTAGATTTAGTCGACTTGCGAAAACATTTCGTATATAGCGTTAATATTTTAATAATAATATAATTACATTAAATATAATTATACGTTATTTAATACTCACAAACGATAGGGGCCAAACTTATTGTTACCGCGGCCACAGAATTATAACACCAGAAGCGACAGCCGGCTTTTTTCCTTTGATCTCGCCGTATCAAATTTCGATGACCTTGCGCCATTATTTTGTAGGTATAGAGAAGCGCCAAATTTAAAAGTGACAACAATCAGTTGTGTTGTTTATATAAACTTTTTTTTATTCATTGAATAGAGATTTACCTACATAAATATGGTGTGGATTCTTCTTAATTTTATGGTATACTTTATTTCAGTAATTTATTTTATATTTCATTCATAAAATAAGGCATAGTGACAGCTTGTTAGATAAATATAATTATTATATAGCAAGTACTTATATATTTTCATTATTTCATTCATCATTACGTACTTGTCTATAACACTCTCTTATTGTTGATGATAACAATAAATGAAAATTAAAATAAAATATTTAATCATAATTTGTGTTGATGATACTAAAAAAATTTACGTTTTGTGCCCTGGACAGTTCTGATTATTTTTTGTTTTTAAAAAGAAGTTTTAGAAAGAAGAAATGAAAAAATTAAGTGAATTTTTTAAGCGATATTTTTATTTAATTAAAATTTACAAAATACAAACAAATTTTCTTATATGAAATAAATACAAGTATGTATCTTAAGTTAAGATACATACTTGTATTTATTATTAACTGTCAGTTGGTATGTTATATTTAAGAATATAAAAAATATAATACTACAACGAACTAACACCCACGAACAACACAAACTGTTCCACCTTTTCTACTCATGATATTATACAGAAATAAAAAAGTATTTATGCACGAATACAAGAAATACAATAACTGTTGACACACGCGTCAAACATAAAATATTTTGAGGTTGACGGAAATACCTACAAAATAATGGCGATTTTCGCACATGCGCACTCGAAAAAAAAATTGGCGGGAAGCGGAACTGTCGCTTCTGGTGTTATAATTCTGTGCCGCGGCGTTTAGATGATTTTCCAACATCCTTCTGTTTGATTCCAGCATAGGAACCAACGTCGGACAGAACACCTATTGTAGGTCTGGTAACAGCAACAACTGTCTTCTTAACGTTGGTCGCAAAAGTCTTGGATGATGCCCTGGAAACTCGCACTGACATCCTGGGGTTCAAGATGAAGTTCCTCACCATCGCCTATTCTTCCTTAACAGCACGACGGAGCGTCTTCTTTAAGACAGGGTCGCCTCGGCAGATCGTCATCCAAAGACTGTAAGCCCTAACTCCAGCTAGGAGAGATTTAGGATCCAATAACCTATAAATAAAGAAACAAAATTAAAATAAATATATA